GATTGGAAGAATAGTAAGAAGGTTTTCAGCAAGCTTGTGCCAGTTCGTGCTGATATCCAAACGATAGTGACAACGATGATCTTTAACCTGACGCAAGATCATGCTGAGGAAGCGTGTCATGGTTTGGCTGTAGGTATACAGCGTGCCATTTTTGTTACAGTCCTCCAATGGCAGTGGCTTCCACGCTTCACCAGATGATGTATCACTTTGTTAAATGGATCAGATTAGATAATGTCTATCGTCAAAGTTTGGAATGCTCACATAGGACAGTGTAGCAGCATGCGACGGCACATGTATGGCACAGCATCTGCACCCTGACGACAAGCAATTGTGTACTTCCAAACTGCATCATCAAGGCCTTTGAGATATGTTTCAGATGCATCAGGAAGACTTGTAAATGCCATCAAATCCTGTATAGCCTGCTTTGATGTCATCAAGTTGTGGTTCTCCATAAACTTGGCCCATCCTGTCATTTCAACCAATGGTGTGAGATGATGATTCTTTTGTGGTAGAGGCTTGAATGGAGGAGTGATGTTGGGTAGGACGTTTTGGATGAAAGCAGCATATGGAGAGGTAGAAGGTACTTGACGAAGGGATGGAAGAATAGCAAAATAACGTGTCGACACAGGATAGAAGAATGTTTGAACACAAGCATCTTCATAGTGAGATAAAGCTGTGGAGGAAGCACCACGATGATTGGTGGAAATGTGCTTCTTGATGGTCCCTTTTGTGATGCATGCATAGGAGCATAGCTTGCAAAGAAATCCTTGATGGATGAGCAGACCTTCAACAGGAGGACCATTTGAAGAAGGACACTCGGCAGAGGCAGGAGCAACCACCTCATGTTGTTTGCAAAAGTCTTCCCACATATGCACATATTTTGTCAGCATAATGTGATGAGTTTTGAGATGTCCACCAAGTTTATCTTTTGAATAGGCCACTCCACATGCAACGCAGATGACAAGCTTGTAATGCATGTGATAAAGGCAGCCAATAGCTTCCAGAAAGGGTGTGATGAGCAGATATGACTTAGACCCATCAAGGTGTTCTAAAACATTGGCTTTATTAGAGCTCTCATATATAGATGTAGTTTGAGCACTTACGTGGTGAGGTGAGCATGGTAATATCACTGACAATTTCAGCCATATTTTCTATGTTTCCTGAATCAAAGGATGTGATCACTGATCGTGAAGAAGTAACTTCATCGATAAAAGGTAAAATCTCAGAGGATTCAGTGTAAGGAGCTGAGGGAGTGTGCAATGCAGCAGACTGAATGGAGGACTGATCGGATTGTATGGAGGACTGATAGACCATGGGCATTTCCACGTCTGACAGATTTGCAACAGTCAGATTGGAAAGAGCTAGAAGTGAAGATGTCTGCTGAAGTGGTGGATGCTCTTGAGAAAAATGAGCTGCAATTTTGCTGGAAGAAGCAGCTGTAAAGTCATCATAGGGACAGTGATATAGCTTTGTCTTGGCATGACGACAGATGCGAGTCATTTCACCTGAACATGATTTGTTATATCAGATCATTATAATTATGAAAACCATACCTCGCAGTGAATAGATAAAGAACTGCTGATGCTTTTCTTGATAGTGAAGGTCATACTGTTCTTTTGAGGTAAATGTTGCCTTGCATTGACCAGTGCGACACCGATGCATGCTATGAAAAAATTTTTAGAGCTCAGTAGCCAACATAAAAACTGACTAACTATTTTTGCTGCTCTTTGGGCATGTTTAGAGTTTTGCTGAAGGATGCTAGATAAACATCCTCAAAGAGTGAAAAGATAATACATCACGTACAAAGTGACAGATTGAGATGATGTTTTTGTGCTTTTAAATTTTGCTCAAATGAAGGAAAGGATGAACAGACTGCCATCTTAAGAGATATGCAGTGATGACGACAAAAAAGTGCTTACAAATTGTATAAACAAGGTCTAACTTCCACGTGGTGTTTTGAAGCTGGTGCAAATTGTCAAGTAACTGATGTGAAGCAAATGCTGTCAAACAGAGAAAAAGAATTGGCTGCTTACACCAAACAAAACTTTTGTATCTGCAGAGATGGTCAATGACATGAAACAATAACATTGACAGATCTGTTTTATGAATTAACAACTTACCAGTCAAGTGTCAATGAAAGTACAAAGACAGATGATGTTTTGATGATATTGATCAGCTATATGCAAAGGACACAATGTTTGAGTGAGCAAAGAGGTTAAAACTGTGAAACAGCATTACAGACAGTATAAAAGCTTGAAGGGCAGATATTTGAGCCTGAGATGATGGTGGTTCAAGGACAAGTTGTAATTTAAACTCAGCTACCTTTAATAGAAAATGCTTAGTAAGAAAATATGCCAAGTAATTGTATTATATAAGCAAATAGCAGAATGAATCTCAGCCATTCAAACTGAAATATGAATCATGAACCAGGTGCATGTGTCCTTGGTTACAAATGTTCTCTTCATACTGCTTGTGTGTGACTGTAAGTGTCCAGTCCACAATTGAAAAAAAAACTTATTCAATGCAATAGATTGATCGCATTAATTATATTTGATATCATGAGGCCCTCAGCCACAAAATAAACAAAGACAAACTTTGTGTGATTTTTTTAGAAAAATTTTCTTCCATATCCTGCTCTGCTTCCTACTTTCTGCTGCACATCATTCTGCTTCATTGCTGTGCTGTCTTGTAATTCTTCCTTCAATATGCCTTCCAGTGTCCCTCCATCTCAGAGTCAAGCTGAAAGTGAGGCTGTGGTCAACACCATTAGCTCCTCTTCTCTGTCACTTGCCATCACTGCTCAGGAGGATTCTGTGGCAGCCCCTGCCAATGAGAGTGGAGGTGCTGTGTCTGCAGTCAAGGTTGCCTTAATCAAAGAAAAAGTGAGTGGTGGTTAATCATTATGACACATATATCAAATGATCTTGTGGCAGCGCAAGCAGATAAAAAATGCTGTGACAAAGGCCAGGCAGGCCAATGCTGCTGTGGCTGCTGTCAAGGAGCAGATTCGCTATGGATCTCGTCACAGTCTGGCTCAGGTATGTTGCATGACTTAATTGGCCATCAACTTTTTTAATGCAAATAATCTGGCAGGTCGGACGAGTGAAGAGAAAGGCTGATGAGCATAAGGCAAAGATTGATGCTGGGCCTGCAGCACGCACTGACAAGTATTTTCGTCGCAACCGTGGTCGTCGCATCGAGAAAGGCCATCAGATTAACATGATCAACTTTGAAGTTGAAAAAGTTGTTCTGATCAAAGCCAAGACAGCAACAGACTGGAAAGATAAGGCGTGCATGAGTGCCGTATGCAAGAAAGGTAAGCAATGTCTTTTGAATGAGATGTCTGTCATCTGACCACTTTTTCAGGTTTCAAAGCTACTGACATTGTCTTTATCCGATCGCTTGCTGGCCACAGGCTGGAAGTATGTCTGATTTGTTCGTTTCTTTTATCTATACTAACAGTAACCACAGAAGGCTAAGGCTGATGAACTTGCAGTGCATGAAGTCCAGCATCGCTATGTGCATCTGGGGTGCATGACTCAACGTCAGCTTTCTTTCTTTCAAAAGCGGCACAAGGGCAAGGCTCTCGTGGATCATGCCAAGATTGAGGGTCTGGATGATCTGCCCGACAGTATCATGAAGAGGGTGAAGAGTCGCATCCTAAATGCACACCCGAGCAAAGGAAAGAAGGTTCTCAGTGAGAAGGAGACGAAGGAACACAGACAGAAGTGTAGAGCTGCTCAGAAGAAAGCTCGCAGTGAGCGTCATCACAAGGCTAAGAAGGCTAAGACTGGCACTGATCTTGCGGACACGGCTGGGACGTCCATGGGCAATGCCATGGTTCATGAGGTGCGTCAATTTCTGGCTACAGCAATATGATTATTCACAGAATTTTAGGCCCTTGTGGAAGCAGCTGTGGCTCAGGCTGCAGATCTCTGATATATATCTCAAATTGTGTAGGCGTACCAAAATGTGTACGTGGAAAAATGCGCATGTCATAGTACTTGCAATCTCCAAGTCCGAGCATGGTGTCTCTCACAAGACGACAGCATAATAACAGCCACAAAAATATATGATAATCCATGAGCCCATGCAGGAAGTACATGCTTCGCGTTTCGTAAGTCATTCTACATAGGACGAGGACCAGCATTCCCACAGCGCCCACGGCCTCAAGCAGCTCCGCGTCGGCGTCGGTGTCGGCATCTGCATCCACGTCCACCTCCGAGCGCAAGTTGCTAGCGCTGTGACGAGACACGTCCGAGTCGCGAGGCGAGCCTCGAGCAGAAGATATGGCCGCGTTGCCGTTCATGCGTGGCCCACCAGACGAAGCCTTCAGATGCCCCACTGGAGACTGGGCACGAGCGCCCCTCGGTCATGATCTCAAATACGTCGTCGTCGTCGTTGACCGACGACCCGGGTAGAGTTGCAATGTACGGCGGCGTCGGCGGCAAGCGCTGCGAGCCGGTGCGCGCAGACTGCGCATGAGGCGAGGGAATCGGCCGCTGCTGCTCATCGCCTTCGCGCTCATGGCATCCATAGGGCGGAGACGACAGTACAGTGCCGTTGGGGCCAAAGCGGGCGAAGACTGCGGCGACGTTCCATGGTTGACCGGCAACGTATCTGATTTGTGAAGCGCACGGTCTGGACCGGGACGGCCGTTGAGCGAGTTTTGATGGTGCGAAGACGGATGAATGGCTGCTGGCTGCTGGTGGTGGCCGAGGACATCTGGCTATCTAACGTGCCGCGGCGCTCGACCCGCTTCATTTTCTTGCGGCAGCTGGTCGGTCGAGCCACGTGTGGTCAGAATACAGACTTCGCGAAGCAAGGGATAACCTACCGGTCGCATACTGTTCCTAAACCTTCGGGCCCTGGGCCCCACTTCTCGACACACTTGCCTTCCTTATACCGCCTGGGAAGCCCGCACTGCCTGCAGATGCGTTGACCCTGGGCGTTCGTTGGCGGATAGCCCCCACCCTGGATAGTCGACGGGGCCGCGATCAACCTTCCCATGGGACCTAAGGCCGGAGCAGCAGACAATGCATAAATCCTTCAACAATAGATCGATGCACATACCGAGGGTCAGAACCGTCCCATTCGCGCCTAGGCTCTGTGAGCTCCCTAACTTGCTCTTTTTCACAGGGACACTAGTCACCGGCGGCGCAAAGATACGCCTCTGATACGTATGCACCTGGCCAGGCGCAGGAAGCGGCCCCGAGGCACCCACCCGATTTCCGCCCGCGCTGTGTCCAGGAATAGGCGAGACGCCAGAGCTGCCCGGAGGCGAGACTCCCGGGCCGAACGCAGACAGGTGCAGCTGTTGTCGCAAAGGGTGGAAGGAGAGCGAGGACGACGCGAGAGAGCGTGAATGCACATGGTTGGGCGGCACGCCGAGATGCTAACCGCGTTGGCGTCGATCAGGGGGGACTGTGAACGATGACGCGTGTGCGGGATGACCATGTGCTGCGACGGGTGATGCGAGAGCGACAGAGCGTGGGGACGAGCGAGAGCGACTGAGCGTGAGGACGAGCGAGAGCGGCGGGTGCGCTGTCGAGGAAGCGATCATGGTCGTCGTCCGTCGTGGCCTCCAACAGCATCTCCTCGAGACTGATCGAATTGCCGACTACGTGAGCCAGAGTGAGAGCCAGAGCGCGAGTGTGAACGGCCGCAACGGTGGGGTTGGCGTTCGCCGTGCGGCTGCTGCGAACGACGGCCTGTGGCGTCGACATAGCGTATTTACACGGGTTCCTCGCGGTCACGGTCTCCAGTATGGTACGAACGCTGTTGCGGCGATGGATGGGAGTACGGGTGAAGAGCGGGCACGCTCGCATTGCCCGAGTGTGGGACGAGGTACGACCGAGCACGGGCTTGAGAGCGGACGAGCCGAGGCACGGGAGAGACGGCGAGGGCGAATGCAGAGGCTGGACGAGGACGAGCTGGCCGCCACCGTTCGCGATGAGGCCCGAAAATGCATCGGCGGAGCGGAGCTCGACGGTGCTAAGGTAGTGATGAGCTCGCGACATCCTTCCTGAATAGTGCGGAGGCGTGCGTCGGCCTCGTCGCGAGCAACCTCTGTGCGCGCCTCGTATTCGAGATTAGTCTTGACAGAAGATTCGGGGAGTGGTTGTGCCTGGCAGTTCGCACCGTTGGAAGTGATGAAGGGTCGTTGCAGGAGGGTGTTGCGGTTGACAGGGATGAGGCATGGGCGACACTGGCGACGAGTCGCTCCGCCCTTGGCTTCGATGAGCTCATGGTGCAGGGAGTCCGTGTCACGGAGGGGGGCATCGGAGAGGAGCGAGGCGAGCTGCGCAAGACGTCCGTTTGCGTGTTCGCTCGTCGTGGATGAATCCGGACGGCGGGGTGCCATGCGCGGCGAGCTGAAGTGAATCCATGCGCCCTCGAGCGACGCGCGATACAGGGCGTTGGGACTCACCGGTGACACCCCTCCCACTCTGTCCATCTTATCCGCCCTCCCCTGCATCGCCGCTGACCCATCGCCGTGTTTTGCATGTGTTCGCGCGCTCGTGAGCCGTTGTGATCGGGCGATAGCGTGGGCAGCGATAGAGGGTAGCCTGTAGAGTCGACGTGGGCGGCGAGAACGCGGCGGTGGTGAATGGATAGTCAACGTGGAGGTTGGTGTAGAGCGCGCGCGCGCGCTTGTTCGCTGCAGCGCTGAAGACGTCGCAATAGCGAGGAAAAAAACCCCCGAAACAAATCAAGTAAAATGAGAAAAAAGAGGCAAAAGAGGAAAAGAGCGAAGCAAAAACGGCGATGCATGAGAACGGTTAGCACGGGGCTGATAGACTCGTCGCACACATCGTGGGTAGTTAAGCCCCGCAGGGCCGACCGACCTGACTCCACCGGGATCCGAACCCTCGAACCCGGAATTTACCGGAGCCTCAATACGCGCCGCAGCGCGCTCACCGAGTAGGCTATTAGACAACACAAAATATATCGCATTTATTATATTCAATATCATCAGCGCCCAGCCACGAAATAAACAAAGACAAACTTTGTGCGATTTTTATAGGAAAATTTTCTTCCATGCTCTTTCTTCTTTTCCCTGCTCATCATTCTATCATTTTGCATTGCTCCCTCTCACAACCATGGCTTCTGAAGGTGAAACTGAGCTGGATGAACTGGATAGTGAGACTGGAAGTGACACAGAAAGTGAGACTGTGAAGGCAGTTGTCAAACCTGCTGCCACAGCAAGCCAGAAGCGAGAGAAAGTAAGCATGAATCAATCATTATCTCACTGTCTTTAACTGTCTTGAAATAGCACAAGAAGCTCAAAGAGGCCAAAGCTAAGGCCAGGCAGGCAAATATTGTCGCTACTGTGGTCAAAAATGATCAGATTCGTTATGGATCTCACTCCACTTCTGCTCACGTATGTTGCTTAGCTGCTAAATAACTGTTTTATTTGATGTAAATAAATATTGCAGGCCAAACGTGCAAAGAGAAAGGCTGAAGAGCACAAGGCCAAGATTGATGCTGGACCTAAGATGCAGCCAAACATCAAACAGCGTCATCGCAACCATGGTCGCTTCACCATGAAGGGCTTTGGCATCACCAAGGACAAGCCTGCTGTTGATCAAGTTGTCAAGCTGAGTGCAGCTTCAGAGGAGAGCATGAGGGCCAAGACATGTATGAATGTGGACTGCAAAAAAGGTGAGTGCTGTCATGTAAATGATGTGGCAGCCATCTTACCATCATTATAGGTCATGTCTTCAAGCCTGAAGATATTGTCATCATTCGAGCACTCATTGGTACCAGGATCAAGGTGAGTGCAGTTTTTTTGACTGTCATCATTTTATACTGACAGCAAGTATAGACTGAGACTGAGACTGATCCTGAGGGGCATGAGATCATTGCTCCAGTGCATGCCATGCATCAGAAGTTTGTGCATCTTCAGTGCATGAGTCAATCTTCTCTTGCTTTTTATCAAAAGCAAAAGAATGGCATCACTGTGGTTGATGTAACCAAACTTGATGGCCTGAACAGGCTGCCTGGTATCTCTAAAACTGAGATTGTTCAGTGCATCATTAAGGCCTCAAAAGCTGAACAGGTGCAGAAAGATAAGACTGATCAAAAGAAGAAGCGCCATGAGCATCACCAGTTGAAGATGAAGATGAAGGAGGAGGCAAGTAGGACAGTTAAGACAGTGAAAGCCAATGTCAAGGCTCACAAGGTATGTCAATGTTCTGACAACAGCAATATTATCATTAACAAAAGATTTAGGATAGTGTCAAGGCTATCAGGGCTGAGGCTGCAAAGATTTGATTTACAATTCAAAGTATGTAGGCTTGAAAATGTGTTTGGAGCAATCACTATAATTGTGGATGTTCATATATATAGCACTGTGTAAAGGCCAATTGAACACTTGTGTGTGAACATAGTTTGCAAATTGTAGCATACCTGACATGAATGGCTCAAATCCTGCTCTTACTTTTGGTTATACAGTGGGTGATCAAAGTATGAAACACTTGCTTGCTTTTCACTATCAGCATTATATTTTCAGTTTTGTCGCAAATATAGTCACCTGTAAAATTTAAACAACCAGTTGTGGTCAGCGAATTTGAGAAGGAGACCCGCTGGCCAGCTTTCACTGTGTGTTCACCAGGCAAGCATGGCCATAACTTGACAGGGTGCCATGGCCATCATGTGTGAAAGGTGCCACAGCCAAGATTGTGGCCCAAAGGCCCTTGAAGAGGACGCTACTCAAGCCAATAGACACAGGGCAGAAGGTTGACTCCTCCAAGCTTTTAAACTCTTTGCATATGCCCACCTTTACCAGTGTACATGCCCACAACTGTCGACACGTGCTCTCAGACAGGCCACATATAAGGCTGTGTGGACATACATAAGCAGACATGGACCCATCGAGAAGAGTGCGGACCCACCAAAAGTTACTTGGTAAGGAAGAAAGGTTACCCTCTGGACCAAATACGCACACATCCATCCCCCCATTGTGCTGAATAAGGCAAAAAGCAATCAAGCCCTCCTCACACACCCTTTTAGGACACACTTTGAAAGCAGCCCCTCTTGCCCGCGGATTTTCTATGTTAGCTCTGGCTTGTACCTCTCCTTCGCCCCTGCTGGTCCCTCTGTTCCCGCCTTACTGTCTCTCACCTGCACGTCGAAACATCAAGACAACACACAACCAAGGAGCGTGTCTAATCATCGTTATCACCTGTCGCAGCAATCATGGGTGTTTACACCAATCCCCACATGGCAGCTCGCAAGGGTTCGCACATCGACACCTCCACTTACACCTTTACCAGCCATGCCAATGTCATCCTCCTTCTCAGCCTCAAAGGCTCCCAGACGTCTGCCTCCTCCTTTTTCAAGAACAATGCATCGATCTCCATTGCCACTACTATCATCTACATGTCATCTTCCCACCGACGGGCACGAGCCTTCAGAAACTTCCACTCAGAATACACCGATGAGGAAGCCTACCACCGCCGGCATTCTCATTCATGCTCGCTGTTCCCATCCACGAATGTCAAGTTCGAGTTCGAGCTGAATCCGTCAGATGAGCTGGAGCACCCGCTCGAGAGGGCCACGTGCATCTGCACCCACTCCAAGCACATCCTGCGCAAGAGCGCAAAGGGGTCTATTATTCTGCCCCACATACTCAACCGTCCAGCCTATTGTGCTGTCCCTGCATCGCAGTTTAAGCCTATCGACCTGAAGCTTGCACAAATACCCGTCGAGTATATACAGGATTCATTTGCTGAGCTCAGGCCTGGGTACGTAACCAGTGTCTGTCATGCTTGTGTATCTAACCTGCCTGCTTTCTTCCTCACAGCATGCTCAACATACTTGCATCAGTGGAGTTCAAATCGATTTGCGATACTGGCGAGAACCTTCCGAAGGAGGTTTCACTGTCCGTGAACGATGACTTTTCTGATGCGCCGACACATATCTTTGCAATACATGATCACCAGCCAGACCACCTCCGGAAATACATCATGCTCTACCCCACACACCATCTTGTCTGGGTCACGAATTGCATCAAACTGCTCAAGTTTGCATCCTCGCATCCTGGGCAGCTCACCTCTGGTGAGCCATACACCATCTCCGTCATCCCACTGCGCATCTTGCACTCTGCAACCTTTGCCGACCTCGTGGCCTACATCTACTCCAAA